TCTTGTTTGCCTAGGTGTCAAAAATCAGATGGGCTGGTCACATAATGAGATTTAAAGACGACCGCTGGACTAGAGCTGTTACCGGTTGGATCCCATGGGATGTCAAAAGACCGCATGACCGCCCACCTACTAGATGGTCAGACTTCTTCATCAAGATCATGAACGATCGGTTTGAGGCTCTTTATGTTCCCAGAGCGAACAGATGCCATTGGGCTACACTGGCACGTGACAGGGACGAATGGAGACGTTACTGGTGCCCACTCGAGCAAATCGATGACTAAAGGGAAGTTAAATGATTAAGTGACTCCTTACTCGTCCTTCCCAATGGTGCCATATTGGAGGCTCTTTCAGGGTCATGGGAATGAGACTTGTTATTGTTACTGTTTTTGGTATATCGAATACACCTCAGAGAGTTTGCCAGGCTCTGTCATGTGGGTGGTATACTCTCGTAGCTTGCTGGGCTCCCTGAGAGGGATGGAGAATGTATATAAGAGAATACAAGCAAATATGTTAAAACCAAACACGTGTGCTACTTTAGATACATCAGTGGACTAGACTATAAGAGGTTCACAACTGCATGCTTCCAGGAGCTTTGTTTTATAGTCTTGGATCTTGATAGTCAAGATCCCTGTATCTTGGCCATTGATGGGATTACATGGCGCCAGGGGGTAGTTTGTGGGTGTGACTGCCAAGCTACTGGAAAATGGGGGACCTGGATGGAGGAGGCCTAGTCCTGATCCGAGCAGGCTTGGAGATCTCAGCTCTGGGTCCCGCATACCTGGGTTCCTCTACCATTTCCTTCATGTATGAGGTTTGTCCGAGTGTGCGCGTGCGCATGTGTGTGTGTGTGTGTGTGTGTGTGTGTGTGTGTGTGTGATCTTTGCAGTGCAAAGTCCTGAGCACCATTGGGGCTGTTCCAAACAAACAAACAAACAAACAAACAAACACTTGGTTTACCAGGAGGTGTAGACTTCCTGAAAGTTGATACAATAAAAATAAAATTAAAAGTCATACATTACCATTGAGCTCATCAGAACATTGCCATATAATGTGAGCTCATGATATTAATAAAAGTTTTCTACAATCCCCCCAAAATAAATAAACTTCATTCCAAGTTTGTTCCTGGGGAAACTTTTAAGGGAATAGTCATTCCTTCTGCTCTAGGGAGGGAAGAGTGAGGTGTGCTGCAGAAGGGGGTGCTTTCTAGCTACTATTTGTAAAAGTTTTGCTGTTCCTTTCTGAACCCAAACAAGGATGTGGAGGGAGGGACAGGATGGACCCCAGGGCATGAGACTTACTGGAATCCCAAAGGGCATCTGGATCCAACCAGGTGAATCAATCTACCATGTTTATCTCACCTCCCTCTGGAGAAATCCTCTGAAATAAGAGCAAAGAAGTAAGAGGAGCACAAATCCACAAAGACAACAAGTCTAGCAGAGGAGATATTGGAAGGTAAGCCCTTTGAAATGTTTAGAATTAAAAAAATCAATGGAGACGTTTGCACTGGCTGAGCCCAGAAGAGGAAAGTGAGAGTCAGACACCTTCATGAAAAGCGTGACTTCTCCTCATATCCCAGCAACTGGCCGGGGCTTGGAGTCACCACAAAAGACCAGGTTGAAGTGAGGGGGTCTGTCAGTCTGATATAGAGGGCCCAGAACATTGCATTCTTAACAGATGGCATTTAGCCCTTCAAACATACACTAAGGGAAATGACCTGGTAACTCATCTCGACAGAGAAGAAACAGAAGATGCTGCAAATTCAAGGTTTGCGGGCTCTGTATGAGCCTGTGTTACCGGGACACAGATCATGATTGAATAAGGGGCAATTTTCTCTTTGGAATAAAGGAACCCTTGCCCTCCCTTCCCGCTCTGTTTTTCACATGTTAGATGACAGGTCTGTGTGTGTGCTTTCCCTCAATGCTTTATAAATGGTCACAAATGGAGTGACTTCAGAAAAATGTATTATCTTACAGTTATGGAGGACGTACTCAAAATACTTTTCTACAGATAGAAGCAGGACTGTGTTCCTCCTAAAGGTTGTAGGGGAGAGTCTGTTCTCTTGTCTTCGCCAGCTTCTAGAAGTTACTCCCGTTTCTTAACCTGTGTCCAGTTCCTCTGTCTGCAGGCCTGTCCCTAGGAGAGATGTGCCGGCCCCACTGCACACACACACAACTCTTCTAATTTCACTCTCCTGTCTCTCTTATTGGGCTGGAGCGATAGCACAGCAGTAGGGCGTTTGCCTTGCGTGCAGCCACCAGCTGAGCCGGGTTCGATTCCTCCACCCCTTTTGGAGAACCCAGCAAGCTACTGAGAGTGTCTCGCCTGCGTGGCAAAACCTGGCAAGCTACCCATGACATATTCAGTATGCCACACACAGTAACAACAAATCTCACGATGGAGACGTTACTGGGCCCGCTTGAGAAAATCAATGAACAACGGGAGGACTGTGACTGTGTCTCTCTTATTAGGGTCCTGGGATTTCACTGAGTGCACCCAGGAAATCCAGGGTAATCTTCCCATGTCAAAATCCTTCATTTAGTGACAGTTACAAAATCCTTTTGCCCTGTAAGTAACCTATTAATAGATTCTGGAAACTAGGCCATCTTTTAAGGGCCCTTGTTCCTTCATGCAGGGTTTTGGGGAGCTTAATCCTTCCCTGCTCCACACAACTCACAGACTCAAAGAAAAGGGCTTCAGATAATGTCACTTGAGGTGGTCTCCTTATAAAATTCCTGATTTGTGCCCAATTTGCCCCCCAGAAGTGCCTGTTAGCCTGTGACTGTTCAGTTTTACCTACCAAGCATGTTGATTTCAAGAAGTTTGGAATGCGCTGCAGTGATAAAAGGTATAAACTGTGAGCAAAGAAGATGGCAGGAAGCTCTGGTCTGAGACAGCTGGAGCTGTAAGCCAAGAAGGAAGGCGGACAGCTTGTAGAACAGGATCGATTAGACAAGTGGAAGAGAGTCAGTGAAATCCAGAAGTTTTTTCAAATGCCTGGTTACCTAGAGAAGGGAAATAGTAATTTAAGATATCTTCAAACTCTGACAAAGCTTGTGAGAAAAATGAAGAAATCAAATGAATAATAACAAAACATCAAAATAAGAGCATTATTACTTAATATTTTTCCCAGCAGCAGATAACTATATTTTCATAATAATGTCAAGACTTAATTATTCAACCCTGGTTATGCTATGATTATGCTGAGGGATGGGGGTGGGGGAGGTTGGATGTGGAAAAGAAGGCAAGAGGCTGTGTTTACCCACCACATGAATATCTAGTAGGGAAACTCCAATGTGGTTTAAGAACTGGAATATGAGCTATATTCCAGTTATATAATGTTTGTATACATTATATATATATACATTCCAATTATAATGTAGCTGTGCTATCGCTCCAGTCCAGGTAGGGCGTTCGCCTTACAAGCGGCCAACATGGCCGACCCGAGTTTGATTCCTCCGCCCCTCTCGGAGAGCCCGGCAAGCTACCGAGAGTATTCGATATGCCAGACACAGTAACAACAAAGTCTCCAGTGGAGACGTTACTGGGCCCGCTCGAGCAAATCGACGATCAACGGGAGGGCCTTTACCTTTTACCTTTACCTTTATAATGTATATATACACATTCGGAACTATAAAATTCCAATAAATAAATAAAGATGAAAGTCCCAGCTAGTGAGGAGAGGAAGGTCAGGGAGTCAGGGAATCCTGTTTTTCTTTAAAAGCTTTTGGTGATTATGTCATTCAATTTTTTTCTATATGCATGTGTTATTGTCTTCAAAGACCTCTGGAACAAAGAGCTCAGAATGAATCATTTTCCTCTGAGCAATAACTTCTTCTTAAAATGTCTCTAAAATGAATCTTGAAGGACTTGGTGCTAATTTTTAGGTTGTTACTAGATATTAGGCCTACTTTGGCTCCACCTTATCACTAAATATATCAAGCAGGACCAAGATCCAAAAGTTCTTGTAACCAAAAATCACGAGGAAAAGACTTTTGGAAAAAGAGACATTTGAATTAGGGGGCTGGGGTGATGGTACAGTGGGGAGGGCATTTGCCTTGCATGCAGCCGATCTGAGTTCAATCCCTGACATCCCATATGGTCCCCCCAGCACCACCAGGAGTAATTCCTGAGCGCAGAGCCAGGAGTAACCGCTGAGCATATCTGGGTGTGACCCAAAAGCAAAAAAAAAAAGACATTTGAATTATGAAATGAAATAAGTATATCACTTAATCACTTAATCACTTAACTTCCCGTTAGTCGTCGATTTGCTCGAGCGGGCGCCAGTAACGTCTCCATTTGTCCCTGTCGCGTGCTAGTGTAGCCCAATGGCATCTTTTCGCTCTGGGAACATGGAGGGCCTCAAACCGATCGTTCATGACCTTGACAAAGAAGTCTGACCATCTGGTAGGTGGGCGGCCACGCGGTCTCTTGACATCCCGTGGAATCCAATCAGTAACAGCTCTAGTCCAACGGTCGTCTTTAAATCTCATTACGTGACCAGCCCATCTGATTTTAGACACCTTGGCAAATGAGACAGCGTCCCTGATCCTTGATCGTCGACGGATGTCAGAACTCCGGATTCGTAAGACACTAAATACCCGTCTAAGTATATCATACTACTGTTTTCCAGTGATGAGTTAAAAAGCCAACTGAAACCTTTCATTTCTGACTTCTACCAAACAAGTTTGAAGACTTGTTTCATCTCTGTATATGAATGTTGGATATCTTATTGGGCCTCAGATGTTACTCAGTAGTAAAGCACATGACTTGAATATGGAGGACTGGATGACCTGAGTTTTGTACATGGTACACACACACACACACACACACACACACACACACACACACACACACACACACACACACCCTGGTTTGGGACGATCATTTTCAAGTGAGATTGCTGCATCTGTCCTAGGAAGAGTAGATCGTAGAGATGATATTGCGACTCAACCATTAAACATCAGGAAATCTATCAGGTTCCTATTTTCTTCTTGATTTAGGCCAGAAAAGTCAGCCCAGTTTCTCCTGTGGGTGAATTGCATCGTTCTTTCAGTGGTACCAGCCTGACACCCACCCTGGGGCCCGACACCAGCTCCTTCCGCCCAGTCTATAAAGGAGCTGCCTCTGCTTTTTGTATTCAGCTGTTTTGTGTAGATGAAAATTATGAAGCAAGGTAAGTACTGATCTTTATCGTCTTGACAGCCCAATATTTTATTATATAGATTTAATTTAGTTAAAAGACCATGATTCACAGAGTTATTGGTAGTTAAATTTTAGGCATATGATATTTCAACACCGATCCCACCACCACTGTCAACTTCCCTCCATCAGTGTTCCTATATCCTAGAAAAATATCTTATTACTGGCATATGCATCATTGGCTTCTGCAGCTAATTAATATTTCTTTTTATTGTTCTTATTTGGTTTTGGGGAACACATTCAGTGGCATTCAGAGTTTACACCTGGCTTACACTCCTGGCAGGCCAGGGAGGTGGCGGGGCACATATGGGAAACTAAGAATGGAACCGGGTCGGCTGTATGCAAGGCAAGTGCCCTACTCACTGTATTATTGCTTTGACCCCAATTAATGTTTCTTTAGCCACAGATTCTGACTACTGACTAGCTAATCACTGCCCAAAGGGGAGAAAGCCATAAATCTCATGAAATATACCCCAACATTGCATTTGCTTGTCTCAGTGAAAATGCTTGCTGTTTTATTTACAGGTCACTGGACTTTATGGATTTTGTTTTCAGTCTTTTTCCAGTGAGTATATCCTATACTTTGAATAAAGTGGTTTTGTTCTGCAGAAAAATTAAATGCTGTAGTAATCGTCAAAATATTTAAAATATTGAGGATTGAACTCTTTCTCTGTGTTGGAAAAATGGTCAATTGGTGTGTTAAAAATAGACAAAATTGCCCTTTTCTGTTTTGCTATTTTAGTGTTTTTTCTTCAATGAATACTTTATTTCTAATGAATAATTTCTGTAGATATAGCTTTACATTTTGGAATACAATTATTTATAAAATTCTGGTCTGAGATTAGAATGAATTTGGTCATTGTAGTACTTTGTCACCTACTTTGGCTCAAAGGATTCGAAAAATGCCCAGGGAGAATTCAGCCCTAACCCCAGGGACCATAAGAACACCTGGGACCCCACCTGCAACTATGTCTGAGTTGCATAGCCACTGGGTCTTGTACCAGCTACTATCAATTTTAAATTCACCCAATCCAAGTGTATTGATGAAAGTTGGGAGTCCAGTCCTTTCTGTCACAGCCAGGAGAGATACTTCAACCCCATATGCAGGGACCCTGTGGACACCAGGACCTACAGATGGATGCTGCACTTTGCCTTCTTCACACACTCTAAGGGCAGGTGGTAAACAACAGGGTCTTAATAAGTTAATATCCCCATAAAGACCCATTCCATGGTAATGGAAATAAATAACAGAGGCATAAGAAGTATCCTGTTAGTGTAAAATAAGAAATAATGTCAGTACTCAGATAACCAGGAATCTAAAGTTCCACTGTCAACACCCACAAAACTCCAAGAACAATGGGAAATTTTTCTTAGAACAGAAGAAATCAGCTGGGGATGGGGGGAAGTGGTGCACAAGGTCCCAAATTCAGAGGGTTCCAATTCCACTTTGGAGCATTTATTCCCAGGACATATAAACACTCTCTTAAAAGGACATATGCAAACCATTATTTATTGCTGCACTTAGTGCAATAGGTAAGATAAAATCAATCTAGGGTGAGTGATTGAAGATGTGGTATATATGATGGAATACTATGCAGCTGTCAGGAACAATGAAATCACGCAATTTGCTGCAACCTGTTGCAAACTGGAAGATATCATGTTGAGTGAAGTAAGGCAGAGAAAGAGAGACAAACACAGGTTGATCTCGCTTATCTGTGGAATATAGAATGCTGCATGAGGAAATGTAGTAAAAAGGGAGGTGCTTAGATCATCCTTGATCCTAGTGTTTAGAGAGGAGACAGAGAAGGAAAGAAACCAAGGAGGGGAATAAGAGAACAAGAAGTGATGGGTTAGCAGGCATCAGGGCTTAAATTATACCAGTGATATGAGTGAGGAATATACCATACACCCCAAACACAGATTCAGCAGAACTGAAAACATGAGATCTAAGCAGCAACCACTGAAACTTTGTAATGTGGTTGTCAAGGTGACAGGTGGAGGTGGAGTGGGGTTGGGATGGGGAGGGAATCTAGGAACACTGGTGGAGGGAAGAAGACACTGGCGGAGGAATTGCTGTCAAATTATTGTGTGCCTAAAACTATCAGTAACTCTGTAAGTCATGGATTTTCTGTAATATTTTTTTAAAAAGAAAAAACTGAATTTAATCGGACTGACAAATGGACAGAAATTCAGAGATGTCCTTGAATTCCTCAGTATTCTTGAGAGTGGATAAGGACGACTCCAAATCAACATTCTAAACAATTTTTTTTTATTTTATTAGTGAAGCACCATGAGGTACAGTTGTAGATTTACAAATCTTTGTGCTTGGGTTTCGGTCATACAATGATCAAATACCCATCCCTCCACCAGTGCCCTTTTCCACCACCATGGATAATATCCCCCCCACCCCCCCTCCCACCCTGCCTCTGTGACAGGGCATCCTCTTTTGTTCTCTCTCTCCTTTTGGGTGTTGTGGTCTGCAAAAGAGGCATTGAGTGGCAAACATGTTCAGTCCATAGTCTACTTTCAACATGCATTTCCCTTCCTGGGAGGATCCTCCAAACACCCTTTATTTGGTGCTCCCTTCTCTATCTGAACTGCCCTTTCCCCTAGAATACCCGGCTGGCCTCTAAGCTATGGAGTAATCCTCCTGGTGTTGATCTCAGCTATTTTTGGGTATTAATCTCATATTTTGTTGCTTTATATCCCCCAGATGAATGCAATCTTTCTATGTCTATCCCTCTCTGTCTAAACAATTTTGAAGTTAAGCAATCATTGGAATGATAAATCCAGTCATATAAAAAAAGGATTCAGAGTATGACAGAATCCATACAAATGGAACTGAAGGAGCTAAGGAATACAGTAACAACCCTTGGCAACAGAATTCTGAATGTAGAGAGTCAAACTTAAAAAGAAGATACTAACCAGCAACAATAATGAAGTGGCAAAGAAAAGTTCAAGAATGTAAGAGAATGTAAGAAACGTAAAGGATTATAGCAAGAGGAATAATCTCCAAATTTAAAAAAAAACAGAAGTAGAGGAAAAATGAGAAAGGAGCAGGGGCTGCAGAAATAGGACAACAGGTAGGGAACTTGCCTTGCAGGTGACTTGCCTGGGTTTGATTCCCAGTGCTATCTCATATGATCCCCTCGGCCCCAGCAAGAGTGATCTGTGAGCACAGAGTCAGGAAGAAGCCCAAAGAACTGCTAGCTGTGCACACCCCCGCAAAAAAAAAGGTGGAAGGGAATGACTGGTAGAAAAGATAATAGTTCATAACTCCCCTCAATTTCTGGAGGAAGACTTCTGTACATAATTAAGACGTCCAAAAAGCCAAACAAAAGTCTCAAGTAGAACAGCACCAAGACACATTGTAATCAAAATGGCAAGAACCAAAGAAAGAGACAGAGTACCAAGAGATTAAGAGGGAAGTAAACCCCCAAATACAAGGAAAATAAGAATAACAACAGACCTCACATATGAAGCCAAACAAGCAAGCAAAGAGTGGAATAACATATTCAAAGTGCTGAATTAAAAACAATCTTCCAATTTGGAATCTGTTACCCTGCAAAGTTATTGTTTAGATTTGATGGAAGGTTGGAAACATTTTCAAACAAGCAAGAGCTGGTTCATCTGTCACAAATAAAACAACCCTGCTAGAATTACTGATTGCCTACAAAATGCAAAATGTTTACTTTTTGCAACTAACTTCCCTCCCCCAACATACAAATAAGAAAATAGCAGCATATCTCTTTTTATCAATAATCTCTTAATGTCAGTGGACTTGTCAAAAGGTTGGATGAATCAGGGAACAAAAAAATCTCTATTTTGTTTATAGGAAACACATCTAAATTCATAGAATAAATACAAACTGAGAGTGAAAGCATGGAAAGCAATCACATAAGCCAATGGTGTACTAAAACAAATCTGGGACAGCCATGCTCTGGTCAGGCCAAATAGCATTCAATCTTAAGAAAATAATTAGGGTTAGGTATGCTTATTGGTTAAGGAAACAATAGATCAAGAAATACTAACTCTTATCAGCATATATGCACCAAAGGAAGGGTAAGCAAAGTTTATAAAACTTCTGCTCACAGACCTAAGGAAATACATAGATGGAAACACAATACTAGTGGGAGACTCCACTTTCATTACTAGACAGATCAACCAGATGGAATATCAGTAAAGATACACAAGTCCTAAGTGAGAAGTTGGAAAATCTAGGATTAACAGATATATGCAATGCTCTTTGTTTACATAAAGGCCAAATACACATTCTTCTCTGGTGCACATGGAACATTCTCCAAGATAGATCACACACCAGGGCACAATTCAAACATACATAAATTCACAAATACAGAAATCAGACCAAGCATCCTTTCAGATCACAATGCCATGAAGGTCAGAATTAACCATAAAAAGAAAACTCAACATCTGGAAGTCGAACGATGCACCACCAAATAAAAACTGTATCAAAGAGGAAATAAAGGAGAATGAAAAGATTCCTTGAAACTAATTAAAATGTAGAATTCTGCAAACCGTCATGGTCTGTGGGAGTCAATAAAAGCTGTACTCGGGGGAAATGCATAGCAACACAGACTTACATTAGGATAGAAGAAAACATTCAAATCCAGAATCTAAATACATGCCTTAAACACCTGGAGAAGGAAGAAGAAATTAATCCCTAAAGTGGGGTATGTGGTGTACCACACATGTGTTCAGTGGCTGAGAACCACCTCCCCAGGCCTCCCCAGCAGAGCTACAAAGAGACAGGCTACCATAAACTGAAGGTAAAAAGGGCCCATTTAATGCAGAGCTGCCAGCCTACTTATTGAACATCTGAGGGGGGTGAGGTATAGGACTACACATAGGTGTGATTGATCATTTACAGAGGTAAAGCATTTCAGCGGGGGCAATTCTCTCAGGGGATTAACTCAAGGAGATGCTTTGTTTCTCAGAGACATCTATATTGCTTTTCTCCTTCCCTTTAATTGTACATACTAAACAATTGAGTTTACTTCTTATTAATATTTGCAGTTATTTGGATAAACACAGTAAGAGATATAGATCCAAAACTTAGTTTTCTGGGCACCGGGGCAAGGATTTTACTGTAAATCCCAGAATAAATCCTCAGGCCAGCTTAGCTCTTTCTTACCCATGGCGGTCCTGTCTTTTAAGTCATCCAGCTTGCATCAAGACCATGCTTTTATGCTTTCTAGATTGTCCCATTTTGATGCTAGGGTAGCTTTGCTGCTTGCCCTGGATACATCCCAGTCCCACTGTGGCACCTCCTTTGTGGGGTGTTAAGAACTACAGCAACTGAAGCCTGAGTCAAGTAATTATGACAGATGCCCAGGAGTAGATGTTGATTCACTCTGAATATAGATATTCAGAGTCAATCAACTCCCAAATATTAGGAGCATAGCATTAATGGTCTTTCTGCATTTAAGCAAAGAACATTGCTCTATAGTAATATAGGGGAAATAGAAAAGCAAGTAATTCACTATGAATACAAAGTCCAGAGTTACTGGAAGGCTTTGAATTAGCAACTCATGCAAAGGAAAAGTT